CTGCCAGCCACAGCGTCTGTGCTGGCAGGTGCTCCTGGTGCAGTACGGGTTAAATTTTCATTCGGATCGCTTAATTTCTCTTGCAAGGAAGTGGTTCAGCTTTGTGCCATGTGGGGAGTTCTTACCCGGAAAGCTCGGGGCTGACCAGCTCCCTCTTTATTTTTTTTCCCCACCTCCCCTGTCTGGAAAATGTGAGTGGGGAGAGGATGGACGCTGCTGTTGGAGTAGCAAGGGGAGCTTCGTCTGATGGTGAGTCCCATTTCTGTGAGGGTCTGTTATTTTGGTACAGCCGGAGCAGGTCACAGCACTGCTGAGTTTTTTCCAGTGCTTCCCGGTGTTGTTTCTTTCCCTTTCCTCCTTGGGCAGCCCCTTGGATGTGCCAGCAGAACTGCTTGTGCCATCGCCTGCAACCCTGACCGGGTTAAACTCCTTTAACAGCGGGTGTGTTTGAAGCCTTTGTGACATGTGGGTGTAGGGAGCTGCGACACACGGGCTGGGCTGGCAGGGAGGGGAGGGCGGCAGGCTCCATGCCGAGGAGGTGGACGTGGCTTCTGGCCGCGGGGCAGTGACCCACCGACGTGCAGTCACTCGTTCTGTGCGTGCTCGCGATTGGGCAGCTGCTGGAGGTGTCTGGCTGTCTGATGGCAGAGAGAACGAAGTGATCTGTGCTCTTCTCAGCAAGCTTGTGGGACTCAGGGGTCTCGGGTGCTGTGGTTTGGATGCGAATGTCCAAGGAACTGCGCTTAAAGTGTCTGGAAAAGTTTTGGCTTTGACTTTCACAGGGGACACGGACGTAGTCTGATCTTTCTCTCAGGCAGCAAAAGGAATAAAACCCCAAGACACAGAACAGTTATGTACAAAACAAGACCTTCATTTAGAAGGGTGAGCTGATTGTGGTTTTTTTTCCTTCGTGGTAAGACATACAAGTAAAATAAGAACGTCTCCTCACCCCCTAGCATTAAATGCTTGGGAAGGACTTGAATGGCAACATGTCTTCCCAAAGAAAAGAAAGCAAAATATCGTGGATGGCTTCGAGAGTATTAGCAGGGCTGTGCAGGAGGGGTAGTTCAAGAAGGTGTTAAGGAAGAAGTTACAGGGTTGCCTCTGTTTCGTGGTGATTACAGGAGGGGGTGGTACCTCTGCTCAGGTGTGTGGTTCAGTCCCAAGATGCTTTTTTTGAAATGAGTTGTCTTTCTGTGTCAAAATTCAGTTTCTTTGTTGATGAGATGATGAGAAATGGAAAGAAGGAAAAAATTAGATGGCAGCTGCTTTGCACACTGCTTTCTGGTGCATTCTGCTTTGAACGCTTCTGGCCTGGAACTGCTCGTTTCTCTGATCAAAGCCTGCGTCTGTGTACCTGCTTCATGCAAGTGACGCTGTGTGTTTGGTAAGCTGTGGGGTTATTTATACAGAGCCTGTGGGAAGCACAGTGCACAAAATAAACTCTCTCTCTTTCAGTCATGCGGTGTGAAAGGTTGAAGGGAAATGGCAAGATTCATACTTACATTATGTAATTTATCCATGAAAAAAACCCCTTCCTCAGCAAAACCATAGGCAGCAATGGAGTCTTTTTTGGGTATCTCATGGTATTTCTTTGACTAAAACAGATGCCATCCCAGCAGTGTGAGCTGAGGAGTCTGAGAAAGTACCAGGGAATTGGGGAGGTACTGAAAAGACGTGTGCTGTGCTTTGTTGAAGTCCAGGTGTGTGAGGATACGACTTAAAAACACATTAAAACTAGATGGCAGATTGATCATTTCAAGCAGGAGTACTTCATTCTGAAGCACAGCAACTGCTTGCGTGCCCCATGGTGCCGTGGAGCAGTCATCTTCCAGAAGAGTGTGCCACATACAATTAAAACTACAGAGGTAATTTCACAGAACTCAAGAAACCCCGTTAACCTCTCTCGTGTGGGGGTCTGTTCAGCTGCAGAATGAAGAGGAGCCAGGTGAGACTGCACCAGTGGTGAACGATGCCCCTCCGCCGTACAGCAGCATTTCTGCGGAGAGCACAGGTAACTCTAACTGAAAGGGGATAGCCAGGTTTGCTCTCTTTTTCTTTCTTGCCTCCTTAATTGTTCTCCTTACTGATGGGTGGCATTGCAGCGTCCTTACCGAGGCTGCGAAGGAGCAGGATCGATCCAGAGAGACTATTGTTACTTGTGGTTTAGAAGATGCGTTTTGGCTACATTCAGCTGATGTCATCCCATCAAGTGGTGTTCAAGTTGCATTTCACAGTGTTCTTAATAGATTGAAGACAGTTAAAATCAAAGTGCTTGAAGATTTGTGGTTCCCCTCTCGTTATTTGGCATTTGGATGATGCTGTGCTCCTTCCAAAAAGGACTTGTTACTTAAAAGGGGTGAAAGAATTCACTCTTTCTCCAGTTTTCGGTAACTAAGGACTTGGTCATAAGGGTTATACTACTCTGAATCATCACACTGTCATGTCACTAATAGCTTTTAGCAAAACAGCTTGTTTTGTGTTGGTTATGTATCAGAGTGTTCTGGCTTAGGTAAATATTTTCATTTTTTTGCTCCAGAACTTTCATAGTCAATTGTTCAAATAAGATTTGTGAATCAAATGCAACGTACTGTCAGTCTCACAAACAGTCGGACAGCTTTGGATAGAAGTTTGGATGTTGTGTTTCTCCAGCTGCCTGTTGAGTGGCCTGCCCTGGCACACCACCGTAGAGATGTCCCATTAGTTCTGGTTCCTCGGTGTGTCTCAGCGCCTGGGGCTCAGAAATGCTGTGTTTGGTTTTTGTTCCGATCCCTTTCCCCTCCCATCAGAAAACAATTTCAAGTCTCTCTCTGGAAAAATTGGTCACCAGCAGCCTAAGGCTTGCAGGGATCCTCCTTTGACTCACTCAGACCCCTTGGACTTGAAAATACAACTGCTTCTGTTTACTGAAGTCAGGAGAGACCAGCATGTGTCATTGTTTTAAAAATAAATACAGCCAGGCGTGTCACAGTAGTGCTCTGTGTATTGCTTTGGGTTAGATAAGGTGCTCCCGTGTTTTTACTTTCTGTTTTGGGATGGCCAGAGGCTGGAAGGGTGGGGAGGGCACAGGAGGGACAGGCTTCAGCCGTCTGTTAGGGGCTTTTGAAGTCACCTGAAGTGCTTCTCGTTCCCAACACGATGTTCCTGAGGAACTGACGAGTTACCTACTGTATAACTTTTTTGATTTGGTTGTTGTTTTTTTTTTTTCAGCTTATTTTGACTACAAGGATGAGTCAGGATTTCCTAAGCCTCCATCTTACAATGTGGCCACAACACTGCCTAGTTATGATGAGGCTGAGAGAACCAAGGCTGAGGCCACGATTCCCTTGGTTCCTGGCCGGGTGAGTACGCTGGGCTGGCTGCGTGTCCTTCCCGTTTCTTGTGTGGAATTGCTCGTTTAGCTCCTGCCAATCAAGTGTCCTGACTTTTTCTTTTCCTTTCTATTTTTAAGCTTTCTGGCATGGTGATATTACGTGCTCCCAAGAGTTCTGTGGCTAATTTTTTTTTAAATTTTTTATTTAATTTTCCTCTGGGTGGCTGTGGGGCTGTAAGACATCCCAGTAGTGCCAGCATGTGCTGTCCAGATTAGTTTGGCAAGCTGACAGAGGCACTGTACTGTGTCCCTGTGCACTGTCACTGCTTGTTTGGTTTTTTAAAGAGATTTAGGATTAGTTGTTCAGCCATCTAGTGCATCTACCCTTGATACTCCTGCCGCTTGCTTAGCTGAGTTTTCCAGAGGTCAGTGTAGCTAATACAAGGATGATAAAACCATTGTGTCAGAGTAATTATTTTTCAATTTTTCTATTTCTTTTTTGTTTTTTCAACATTATCTCTTGTTCAGCCTCTTCCTCCACCCCTGATAGCATTGGATGTCCGCTGCTCGTTATACTTCTTTGTAGAAGCCACATTCCTTGCTGAGATGATAAGGCTTAATTTTTTTGATGAGTAGAATTCTTTACAGTGAGAACAAGAACATGCTGGATCTTGACTGTCTTAAAAAAGAAATAAATCATATTACATATATAATATTTCATGCCCTGCATCATCTTGGGATGAGAAGCAGGAATTTTTCCTGCTTGCATTTGAAGCCTTTTGAGATTCAGGATTCCACCCTCCTGCCCCACAGGGGACTTTCCTTAACTGGAAGTGAAGCATTCTGCATCCCGCCATCCTACACTGCTCTTGGAGGGCTGTACCATTTGCTGGCCCTTTCTTGAAGACCCGCCTGCAGAGTTGGGGTTGCCGTATGGGCTGGACTGACTGAAATCCACCCACATCTTGTCTCCCTTGGATTTGCAGGATGATGACTTTGTGACACGGGATGACTTTGATGACACCGACCAGCTGAGGATAGGAAATGATGGCATTTTCATGCTGACTTTCTTCAGTAAGTACATGGTGGAACTTACTTTTTTCAGGCAGTGACCCAAAATAGTTATTTTCACACTTGTGTTTGTGTAGCACCAGGAAGAACCTGTGCGTGAGGGTTTTATGGTTTGGGTTTTTTTTTTTTTCCTTGGAATACAAAGAGGGCTTGACCTGCTGCTTTTCTCCTGCTTTCTCAGTGGCATTCCTCTTCAACTGGATTGGATTTTTCCTGTCTTTCTGTCTGACTACTTCAGCTGCAGGACGATATGGGGCCATTTCTGGCTTTGGTCTGTCTCTTATTAAGTGGATCCTTATCGTCAGGGTAAGTTGTGTAGTGCAGAAACGCGTACATAGACACTGGTGCTCTTTTCCCTAGCTCCTTGTTCTCTCACGTCTACTGAAGTTAGTTATAAATTTAGCTTTTGATAACGAAATAGATTTTGAGCCCCTTATTTCACAGAGAACAGAGCTTTTTCCTCATTCTGCCCTGTTTATACGCTGGATTTATTATTGGAATAAAAGAGAATAAAGATTGCACACGCAATGTGCTGACAGAGCCACTGTATTGGATCAAAATGGGTGTGTTGAGCTGGAACAATGATCTGAGCTCTGTAAACCACCCAGATAAAGCAAGCCCTGCCGTCAGCACGGGGATGTTTCTCTCCAGGATGATGTTCCTTAGGTGCTCCTCTGGAAAAAAAAAAAAAAAAAATCTCTAAAATGTGGAATAGCCGACGAGAAGGGGGAAATGGGGACTTGAAAATTAAGAGGTGGAGGAAGAAGAGGCAGCCACCGCTTTCTCTCAGGGATGGGAGAAGCCCGCTGGTGCCCTCTGGTGCGACAAGCCTGCGGCACAGGCAGGAGGGGATCAGGAGGGAGCAGCTTTTCTGCTTTGTTTTGTTTCCATATAAACTCTGGGCATATCCAGGCTGTTAAAACATCCACCGTGCTCCCCTCCACCAGATCGCACGGGGAGAGGAAGGGGGTGACTGATCAGAACTGGTTTGTGTTATGGGAGCCTGGATGCAAAGATAGGGCCTGGCTGGGCACACACCTCTGCCCACGGAAGCCAAACAGGCTGACGTGGTATTGTTGAAACTTGGAGGGGGGGAAAGAGAAACCTTACCGGGGGGAAAAAAAAGGACAGAGATGTGCTGATGCTGGAAGGAATGGAAAAAGTCAAACTTTTTTGGAGGGACTGTAAGAAAATATCAGAAAAGCTTTATTTGGAGCCCATGGAAAGGAGGTGTCTGTGGAAATGGCATGGAGACATCCCAGGCCAAGTGTCAAGCAAAAAATCTCATTAGCTGTGCATAAGTAGAGAGCATTAATGTTAGGGCTGTCACTTCATACCTCATCTCTTTGGGCTAGGAACTGTAATTTGTAAATATAGCATCTATTAACTTTTTCTGTAGAAAGTTAAGGTTTTTGGGGTCATCTTGTAAAAGAACAATTTACTGGATTAAGAGGTGTGACAGAGACAGGTGACCTTAACTGTGAATTTGATTTAAACTTTGATGACAAGCTTGACCCTTTGTCAGGTTTTAAAACTTGAATAGAATGAAAACAAAAAAAATTGTACTGTATCTACCACTGACATAGTGAACTTCAGTGCTCTAGTCCTGTGGGAGCCTTTCATCCAAGAGGCAGTAATTTTCCTAGTAGAAAATCTTCTTGGAGGATTCCGCAGATCTGGGATTTCTTTTTCATCTGTACTTTGGTTTGCTAAGCTGTTCAGCCGTACGGAGTAATGAACGTTGGTGTGCTGCTGCGAACCTGGACTTCAGAACCTGCAGCTGGGCTTCATGAGCATCAAAGCTGGGAGGGAAACAGGAGCGTTTGCCCTGTGGTGCCTTCCCGCTCCACTGATTGCAAGCGTTTCTGGCTGGGTGTTGAACCTCTTCCATTGCCCTTGGTTAGAGTTGGCCTGATGTGTGTAAACCAACCTTAAACGGAAGCTCGTGGAGGTTCCCCGCAGCCTGGGCCATTGATGGAATGTGACGTTCTGTAAGCCCTGCTGCGTGCAGCAGGCCTGGTCTGGTTACTGCTGCCGTTGGTGAGAATAGATGTGGGTTCAGAAACTTCTGGGTGTCTAATTTGTATCTTGATTTGGTTTGGTTTATTTTTTTTTTTTTAGTTCTCCACCTATTTTCCTGGTTACTTTGATGGCCAGTATTGGCTTTGGTGGGTCTTCCTCGTACTAGGTGAGTGTTTGTTCGGGGGG